AGCCCAATGACGGTCAGTCCCACGTCCAGCAGCTTCACCACAACCATCTCTCTTTGGTCAAGTTTAATACTGATGGCACTTAAATCTATGTTGCTTTAACATAGATGTGCACTTTCTGTAAATATGCACTTTATGGAAAAAAAATTTTTATTATGGAAATTATTTTTTATTATTTTTCTCATTTATTTTTCTCATGTCGTTTCTATAATTATGTATCTGGAGCATTAGAAAATACAGTCAATCTTATGAAAGTAGTATGTATTACATGGTCTATCTTTCATTGTACTTTATAAAGTGCCAAATAACCTTTAAAAAACATTTGTTTTAATTTAACAGTTTTTACTGTAATTTAATGTACAGTACTGATCTCAGATTCATGCTCTTTATTTCAAGCAGTTCTATTACAGTGCTCACTGTGGGGGAATTTATTTAAAAGACCACCCTGACTTGTGTGTAAGAGAGGCATTTAAGCCTACTATTTATTTTCCAGACAAGTTTGCATATACATATACTGCAAGATATACATCATTTTTAAAAATGAAGAGGAATCATAAACAAGCCCTTATTAACACCCTGTCTATGGACATAAACAGTGTGACATGACAGTAAATAGATGCACCATTCTCTTTCTGATGTACTTCACACCCTTGTGTGTCTTTCTGATGTACTTCACACGCTTGTGTTACTTCTGTCATAAAGGACAATTGGACATTTTCATTGACGTGTTTAAAGAGCTTCGTCCTTATTAAAAATTCATATAAATTTCTCTGAAATTCAGCTCATCAGGTCTAAAATGTTCAAAAACAATTAAAATGAATACTCCTAATATGAAGGACTGAGGGACAGACAATAAACCTTCCTCAGGAAAAATTTCTTAACATTTAAGGCATTAAGATACTCCTAAATAAGGCATTATGTTATAAAACACTGTAGGAGTTCATAATCACTACATAGAATAATCTTCAGTGCCTTTATAAGAAGTCCTAGGTCAAGGTTCAAAAATATATGAACAAGGATATCACTTCACCCATTTTTACACATGGTTTTATGATTTATCAAATTAAATCATTAAAATCCTCTGATGTAAATCGTAAATCTAGTCTAGTCCCACCAAATCTAATATACATTTTCCCTCTTCGCAATATTTCAACAGTCAAACAGTATTCAAACAAGTCAAAGTCAAACATTCGGATAACATTAAATGACAAAAGCAACAGAGAAAGTGCTGTTCATTGGAATGGATGCTGCTAACCAGATTAAACATTGACAACATATTGTGCAAGATAGGAAATATGTTCCGCTGATAGGTTATGAATGTTTATACCTCTGGGTGAGAGGGCTTAGGTGTGTCTGAGAGATTAGTTTATATAGGACTGACATAACAAATTGATTCAGAAAGGACAAGTATCTAAAAGATCTTCATTGAGGATTCATCATTTATATCTTCGTTGATTCATTTTAGTCAGTTATTCTCTGCTAAATAAAATCTGTTTTAAAAAAAAACCTTCACAGTTGATCAAAATGGTTCCGATTACAAAGACACTGGTCTTTCTCTGCATGCTGATTGGATGGTCACAGGCTTTTCTGCATCATGATGTCTTTAGAGAAAATGATGCAATCCAAGATGCTGACAAAATAGAGAGAGAAAGACGAGATCTGGCTGTAAGTGTCCTCATATGTCTGTGCTGTGTATGCTGATTTCCTATTTCAAACACCTGAAAAATATGATCAAGCTGTAAACTGTGCATTTTTACTGTTTCAAGCTACAAGCATAAAGTTACTATAGCATTTAATTAAAAGAAATACAATTTCTTTTCTTTGTAGGTCAATGATTTTACTCCACCAGTGTGTCGTGTCTTCAATATGAGTGCGATTTGTCGTTCATATGAATATATGGATGAATTCAAAGTGACTTATATCATGACAGATGGAGATGGCTCAGGAATCGATCACATCAAAGTTTTTGCCAGTGGCCTCAAGTGTTTAAGCAAGACAACACAAGCTTATGGTCTAGATGAAGACGGCTACAAAGCGACCTATCTGTATTATTCCAGCAACTGCTGCTATGAAGATGTGGAGGTTCTTGTGGTGGACAAGGCAGGACACACAAGCAAGTGTCCTGTTGCTCTAAAACGTAATACGACGACATTCAAGCCAATGACCGTCAAGACTGTCAAACCCACATCCAGTAGCTCCATCACAACCATCTCTCTTTGGTCAAGTTTAATACTGATGGCACTTAAATCTATGCTTCTCTAAGATGGATGTGCACTTTATGTACACTCACTTCACATGTAATTTAAAATGTAGGCTACAATAAAAATGTACAATAATTAATAATTGGAATATATTTAAAGCACTTGATGTCAGTATCAAGTCAGTGCTTTGGTGGGGTAGACTGAGTACATCTGGGACATGTGTACAGTTGAAACACCTTAAATAACTTGCGTGCAAAGAAACCCTGAGCCGTGATTTTTGCACCACACATGCGTATTAGCATTCTCTTTGATCATGGGAAATTTGAACGGTGTGTGTCTTTCCACTCCAAAGATATCGGCAAAAAAAATTTCCCAAGGTAAGATTTTCATTTCACCATGTCCCTTCCACAATGAATAGCTTATTAT